GGAGAGATGAGGGGTGCTGGTGAATACTTTCTCCTCAATGGAGCGTTGGGGGTCGTCTGGGATTTACAATTCCCGGCAGATTGTCGGACTTAAGTCCTGCTTTTTCGACAACTACGGAGAAAATTCCCCAAAGTTGGCATTTTTTCTAAATCTACCCATATGGCACATTCCATTTTCACGGAATATAAGGGTCCTCACATATTAGATATGCTGTGGCAAAGTGTTTCAATATTTACTCCAAAGTTAAAAATAACACATACGTATCTACTGTACTGTTTTTTGGAAATGTGGCAGTCGCCCTGCATTCTACAATTGAAGAGATTGAGTGAACGCACTCGGTGGGGGAATGTTACTCTGAAGTGATTATTGGGAAATGCCAGCCCCGTGTGGTTTTTTGTAGGTACCTCAATCGAGGGAGAAGTCCCTCTTCATATTCTTTATAATAGGCTTTACTGGATTTGGATTTTACACCTACCAACGTTTGTTTAGATTTTACAACAATCGATTTAATGGACGGTGTATTATCTTTTTCAACGGAAATTGTTTAATTCACAAAGACGATGATTTTTATAAGCAAACGTCAAGTGACATTTCCATGGCAATCGTGAAATTACGAACACCCAGCCCACTTAATTAAACATGTATTCGAGTGTAACGTCAATATGATTTCATTGTATTTCCTATTTTTAAATTATACTGCAGGTATAATAAAAAATACTATAAGATGCACGTGTATACTTGGTCTTTAAAGTACTTGCAACGTTAAAGGCACTACGCTTTGCGTCGTGCCCTTAAACTCGTTGCGCGTGCTTTAAAAACTTGATTATACACTTGTGTCTTAATATACTATTTAACACCTTTCATGTTCTACTCAATTAGTTTTATGTTCACTTCGAAATTTACCGGTGCAATTTACTATTACAATACTGCTCACAACTGTCAATAGTTTAGTTTGAACGATTATCATCTCCTTGGTTACGTTAAAGGAGTTTCAGACATAATAGATTAACCTTCATTGCTTTACTGTTTATTAAGACTCTGGTAAATAGATAGGTACCTACACGTGGGATGTAAAATTAGAACATTACTATTTGTATCGTAAAACTTCTTTGTTCACCAATACAGGCTCCAGTATTGCCCAAGTTTCTCATTGTTTAAAAATTTGAAAATAAACATAAATATTTTCGCATATGGGGAGCAAATAGTGAGGTAAAGAATTTACGTTTAAGCTGATGCTTTTTTTAAAAGATAATCAATCAAATAAATGTGTTTTTCGTCGACCTCTTTATAACAACATGAATTACTCCTTAGCGTGCTCCTTAGTTACGGGTGTAGCAATGAAGCTCATTAATGGTTAGCAACGTTAGCAACCGGGGGTAAATACACAACAGCTTGATTTTTAATCGAATAATTTTATTTTTACAGGAAAGTTTTGTCGCAGCGGAAAAAACTAGAGATCAAAAGTGCGATAAAATCGCGACAGCTTTAGCTGGAACGATTTTAGTATGTGCTTTTGATAGAGAATCGATTAATTTTAGGAATTTGCATATTAATTTTGTTTGAAGTAATTTTAATATTCCTATAGGAATCGATTAATCATTACCACTTCCATGAAATAGATTTTGTATTGTTTTTATTGATAACAATTAAATCCAAACAAAGGATTTTGGTTATTTTGCTTCATTGATGGGGAAAATATTGCATTTAATTTTAGTGAAACCATTCCTTTAGTTGGGTTAAAGGTTTGTTTAGCATTGAGCGATATGTGTATATTTTGAACAGGAAAATTTACCATTCATTTATTATGTGGTGAAGATAAATTTTAGATAAGTATCAAATTTAGCCAATGTCAATACACGTGATCACGTTTGCATTTTGTATTTATTTTAATGAACCACACCGATGTTCTAAGTCCAATAACTTGGCCAGAAAAATTGAACTTGATCGATCACATGTGTATTTATTAGAGTTCAATCAAATTAAATTGGATTTCAGATTGTAAGACGAGATAAGAGACCAAACCTCCGTAAGGTGTGGGATTTAAAAACATTTTTATTACTGGGCTAGCCGTGGGTCAAATAAAATCAATTGCCATAATAAAAAATTTTTCCAGTGCCGACTTCTAATTGTTCATTTCAGACGATATCTTGTTAATTGCTATAGGTTTGATGGTGATCAGCAGTGCAGTTAATTATAAAAACATTCGAAAGTGACACTTGGTCAGACTCCTGTCTCTCTCTCACAACCCTTGGCTTATAAAAAAAAGCGCGCGCTTTTGAAGAATTAGTCCAAAACCTTTTCAATCCCTTCGAATAAGAATGAGCCGAGGGTGAAGGGCCTATATGCCTTAGTCTGCTCAACAAGGTGACGTGATCCTTTAGAAAGCATCACCTCAATCTCTTCCCACATTGCTCCTGCGTCTTGTATTTATTGTACAAGCTAGGCGTTTCAGCTCGGAGTTTCTGAAGCTCTGCTTTTACCAGTCTTTTTTTTGGGACAGCTGACTCAATACACCCTGTGCTGTGTATGAGTTTGTAAAGATCGGTAGAGACTATTTGGAATCTAGCCCAGTTCGTGTAGTGATAAGCTACATGATAACGCCAAACAGAGGTAGGTACTGCCACATTTTGTTCAATACTCCTTTGCACGTCACTGACAGAATAGAACACCAATTTTTGGTATATTTAATGAGAAAAATATTAGAGACTTGTGCCCAGAACAAGTTGATCTATGGACTTGTGGTAGGTAAACTTTTGTAGAACTGGATATGCTGCGATCAACGATGCCAAAGGTTTTTGTTTAATATTTGACATTGACGTTCGAATTTTTTGTTGGCAGTTCTCACCTTTCGTTATTCATTATCGGTAGTCGCTTTCAACAGAATTGTGGTGTGTCTGAAGTGCTTTTAGTCGAAATGCATAACCATTTACATAGTAAAGCTAAGGAATGGGAGGCTAGTTTCATCCATTATTTTGAAATGGACTATGAAGATTGTGATCCTTTATTTCCATTGGGAAGATAGAGGAGTGTATCCTTATATAAAAGCAACTTTGTTCATATTTTTATTTTAGCGTTCGTAGACGTTACCATAGTATAATCCTTCATCACTAGATACTCAACTCCTTTTGGAAATACATACCGATTTTTTCAGCGTAGCATTTACGTATATGCGTTGTGGTAATGTCCCAACAACAACTTTTGGTATCTGAAAAAACCGTATATTCGTTTAAAGGGTTCCCTCCTACTGCATAAATTTGTTGTTACTATTTGCCTTATAACGTGAACTGTTGTTTGGAGAAAACAAAATGAAACGTGGGTAGATTTGTTCGTCGTTGGACTCCTTATCTGTCGCATTCCTCCAAATCCCACCCAGATTTACGCAGGCTCACCAATAAAGCTCTAACGAGCCTCCGTACGTACAGAGAATTTTATAGGGTAGAAAAAATGCACAATCTAAATTATATAGATACGGAATTATAATCTTGTGTGTGTGAATTTTTGTTTATGCATTGTAAGGAAATCAATTATTTCATTTATGTATAACCCGGTTTTTTATTTAACCGTAAGACACGTTGATACAGTCACCCGCAGACTGGTATCTCGGATACATCTGTAACATTGCGTCTTATGGAGCCGTTCACACACGCATACTTCTCGCATACAGTACCGGCGACTAAATTTCGGTTTCCCGCTAGGTCCAGTCGCCCGGAGATTTTACGACTTTAGGGAACTGATGGGCTATTGGTTCATATGGAACTCTTTACAGGAGGGTACCTTTTCATTAGCAACCGGTCAGTGCTGTTCGTCACCTCCGCCCGAAGAAACAAAATAGTCATAAAATGGAGCGCACCTTTGATGTATTGTATAGTAAAATGGCTTCTGCAACGTCAATTTTATCAGGTGTGGTGTGACTTTACAGAAACCCGCCCGCCACTGCACTGAAAATCGAAGTACCTCACTGCGTAAGGCTGGAATTCTGATGACAAAGATACAGTATTTCGCATACAGTACCACCGTGTAAAAGAGCTCTAAGGAAGCTAAAAGGTAACTGGAAATATAAAGTAAAAATCGCGGTTTAGAAATACAATTCTATTTCAGATGCAAATAGAGTAAATAAATAAATACTGCACTATGTGTGCATATTTAGGGTGAGATAAATGAATCAGATCATTGTAATAAGGTAAGAACAAAGAGATCCGAGTTAAATACGTCTATCGCAACCCAAAGTTAAATGACAAATAATGAGACAGGAGGCTTTAAGCGGCGTTACATGGGGCGAACCTGCGCCGCGTTGTCGCAAAGCGCGAGGTGCAATTTTAAGTCAATCAGTCCTCTGAATGGATCCCGAAGACTGAAATTAATCCAATAGCGAAAATCATATCGATCGAGCCACCGTCATGCTGCGGACGAAGGTTTTCGCAGCATTTCGAAGAAAGAAAACAAGAAGCTTGAACATATCCACGGCGTACCAGGATGCCAGAAGCGGCGTAGGTAGGTGCGGATAGCGCCGATCCTGACGAACGGAGTTAGGTCAGAGCCGGGACGTGATGACATGCGGTGGCGACGTCTTGAGCCAAAGCGACCAGCCTCAGTTGCTTATGTAGGGAAGGTAGGCTTGCCCAGGCACAAGTGGTTTTTGCTGGCCCTTGGTGGTGCTTATTAACAATTCGTCGAGGCGTCCGGCGTTGCGGCGAATGGGGCGTTTGCTGGTAGTGGGGTCCTTCCCTGGCGTTCCTAACAACGGCGGGAAGTCTATAGTCGGTCCGTGCATAGTACAGCTGGATGCAAGATAACTCTCCTTGTGAGTGAAAGCCGTGACCCGAACTCGTCTAGAACTGGTGGTGCACAAACGATAAAGGTATTTAGGAACAATCGATGCGAAGTATGTTTTGCGAATCAATGTTTCTTAACTATTTGCTGTACAGGATTGTTACGCTTCAAACCCCATTTACTAATTATGTTATTCTATTGCAGCAAGAACATACCTTAAAGAAAATAAGAACCGTTTCATAATTTAATAAAGATTATTGACTTATTATTTATCCCTTTACCTTTTTCCTTAAGAGGCCAGGAGAGAATTACTAACTGATAGCTATCGGGCGCACATTATACATAATTCCATAACAAGAACCACCCGTAATTTAATTAAGGTATGCGAAGATTAGCCAGAGGTAGGATGGAGTAGAAGAGGTATTTGTAACATCCGTTACAAAATGACACCCAAAAACGGGGCTTACGTATTAGAGTGTTCTGGAGAAGCGATGAAAATAACGGGAAGGACACACAAACAGGAATTGATGCTTCACTTGACCTTCACTGTGGAATACTGTTTGTTGAAATCTAAGAACCTCGTGCGTTGCCGGATGTTTCTACTATCGTTCTGTATTTTAGTTCAAAAAGGTATTTGGGCATTTGCTTTTATGCTTTCAGAGAAATGTATGTATCTGTGCCACTAAATTACATTCCCAACAGTTTCTTTTTGAATCAAACAGCATAGATAAAAAAGGTTTTGTATAATATAAAAAATCTATAAAAGTATAATCAGCATTGTTACAGACTCGCTTCAGAAGCTTCTTGCGATACGACCGATGTCTGAGACTGATTAGGGCAACTGCTTTTCCTTCTGCACACCCGCTTCCTCTTCCTTGAACAACTTCGTCTGCGCATCCTTCTTTTTCTTCGTTTGCAAGTACGCCTCTTTATTTTCCGTTTGCATTTGCGTCGTCTCTTCTGTAACTTACATCTGAGCTTCCTTCGCCCAGGTTTACACTTAGTTCGAAAGGGCTTAGCAGCCCTTCCGGCCTGTGCTGCTCTGCACTGGTACTTTCTTCTGCGAAATTCACTCATGTTGCACCACCGGCGAGCTCCTTCGAGCGTCAGCTTGCATGAAAGCCACGTGGGGTATTTCTTACGCAGCTCTTGTAAGAAATTTAAAAAGGGATTTTTCGAAAAGCGGGAGTTTTTTCGTCTTTTGCAGATTACGTTTGTGCCCTTCTCTCTACGTCTACGTCTTCTACATGCCATAATTTCGGAATAAAATTCTCTGAAAGGTCAAACTAAAATTTTGAAGTTAACAAAACAATCTTGTTTGATACGTTAGTAACGCCCAGACGACTACGTAGTTTCACAAATTTCCTATGCAACTAACAAAGTTTGTCTATGGTTACCACTTTATTTTCCAAGGAGACGTAAAAACAATTTTGTTTCATAAGTTAGTAACGCCCAGACGATTACGTAGTTTCACAAATTTCCCATGCAAGTTACAAAGTCTGTCCATGGTTACCACTTTATTTACCAAGGATACGTAGCATGTCCGGAGAAATACAGACATTTACACGTCGATATTTCAGAAAGAAGAGAAATGTGCAAGAATTCGAAATCTGAAATAAAATGGACAACTTGGGGTTCACGATTTCCAAGCAAGGTATAGGCATTTTCGGGTTTCAAAACACCCATTTTTTTAATACTAGTGCTTTTGATTACTTAAAAGGAGCGCAGTTCTAGGGTGTACTCAAGCAATAAATGGCTTGAGTAATAAACTAATAATTACATATTACAAGAGAGAAAATTTTGAAGACAAAAATGACATGAAAGCCTGTTGCTTGGCAAATTCGCAAATGACATTTGTAAAATGAATGCCATGAGTGAAATTGTCAAAGAACTAAACCCGACGAAAATTGATAAAACAAATTTTTCTCGAATAATATTCGAGACGAAATCAAACATCAAAACAGACATGCTCATTTACCCAATAAGGTAACTGAGTGATTTGTGGAAGTAAGAGTTATGCTATTAAAGATGTGCGCTAGTATTACATTTTGCCGTAGTTAAGGTCTGGCGATAAACGTCATTTTCTGACGAGAGGAAGTTTTACACAAGTACAGAATCTTTTAAATGTAACCGACATCTTTGAGTTAGACGTTATTTTTAGTAATTTGCGCATTATGGTTATGCTATTTTACCCCAGTTTTAGTAAGGGAGCAGAGGTAAGTTGCCTGAAAAATATACACAGAACAGCAGGAGCAGAGATACCGAAAACGTAATGCGAAAGGAAGAGATCACGCAGCGGAATGACGTGAGTGCTGGTATACATTTCAAATTACGGCAACAAGACGAACGCACATGTAGTCCATAACAAAGTTCAGGGAACGCCAGCCTCCGTTAACATGGTTACGAATGGACCATAACCACCGCCGACTACGTTACCAACGTCATCAAAAGTAGTTTTAATATAGGTATGCCGGCGCTTGAGTCTGCACATCCCAAGGAGGTAAACAGCACTACAAGAGCTCAAACACTCTACAGCACTTTGAAATCGAGGTACAGAGGTGTACAAGGATGTGCATCAGGGTAAAAATCTAATCATGCTCCAACTTTTATATCTCGTGCATCAACTAGAAGTAGATCAACACGCCGTCCTCTACAATGCTCAAGGTTTACCGCTAGTCAACAAGCGAGATTAAACCTATTTACAAACTCCGTAGAGGGAGAAGAAACATCAAAGTCCGGTGTAAAGAACTTATCACGTGAACAGCAAGTATTATTTTTCATGGACTCAAACTTTCATAGAAACAATACCTGGAAGCTGTTTAGTGACATGTTGAGTGCCTAAGGAGTTCTCTTGCCAGGTCCGTACCGGATACTGATGTTCCCTTGTTCATTATTTGATCGTTTATCTACAATGTTTCATCCTTGTTGATGTTAGAGTCAAAGTTGTTCACTGTTAATTTTTTGCTGTGTTCAAATACCAAATAAAATGTAAAGGTTTTTGTATATATAAAAAAAAGCATTATACAGTTATTAAGCACATAAGTAAATTTTTAGACGTGATGATAATTCATCATGATTATAGAGTCGCTATTAGCTTGGCTATTTGCGATAGCGACGATGTCTGAGCATTAAAGGCAACTCGAGGCAACTACTTTTCCATTCTGCACGCTCTTTCCTTCTTTCTAACACTTCTCTGGCGCCTCCTTCTTTTCCTTTTACAAGTACGCCTCTTTACTTTACGTTTGCATGTGCGCCGTCTTTTCTGCAGCTTACATCTGAGCATTGATTAACATATAACGAGGAAGATAGACAACCACGCGGCACAATTTGCGCCGATTGTATGTTCTACTCGTTTGATTAACATATAACGAGGAAGATAGACAACCACGCGGCACAATTTGCGCCGATTGTATGTTCTACTCGTTAGGATAGTTTGCATCGTCCATCTGCAGCATGGTACATGAACTAAAACGCAATTATCTCATACTTCCTCGCAGATTTCTACGTACCTAATAGCACTTTTAAAATCCAGGTCCGTAGTAGAAATTTATAAGCATACATAATAACCGATCAGCTCAAGTTTAAGTATTTAATTATAAGATAGTCTGCAGTCATAGATAAAAGACATAGGTATCACATATCTGTGCCGCAGTGAAATAATTGCGCAAATTCAAACGTCAGCATTTAATTTCATGTGTAAGATAAACAACGTCGTGCAAGACGCCGTGCATCAAAGATGCCGACTCTTCACCGCACACATTTATTGTTTCATTATGCAGAATTTTGCAAAATCAGCTGTCCCCTGATTTATCTTACGTGTTAAGCGAGGTACGAGAATAAACACGAAATCGTATTGTAATTGAAATGTAATGTCTAAACTCTAAAGGTTTTGTAGTACCCGCCGTACCCTGTACCCGGAGCCTATACATGCGTTTAATGTGCCTAAATCGTGTTTGTAAAAACTAGTAAAATAATAATCATTATTGCAGTATCAACTATAAAACTATTAGCGGATAAATTTGTATATGTGCGGATAGTGAAAAAAGTGTGTAGGTATTACATCTTTTGTTAGCCCATCGTATAAATTTAGACCAAGATCGCGTACGGTATACTCTTTGGATATTTGATTACTACCTATGCATGCGATTATGATAAATTGAAATGTAAAGTAAAAGTGTAAGTTTATTAAGTTGTTTATAACGATATCCGTATGCCGAGTTTATAAAAAGGAAGTTCGCAAAAAGCAAATCCGGCGGTATACCTGTAGTGCGATCACTAAAATAAAAGAAAATATTAAATTTGCAATGATATTGTACCGTATATTTTGATAATTTATTACATAAAATACTCGAATACCAATCGGCTAGGACTAAGTAAAATGTGATCAAAAATGCCTGACCAAAAAAAATCGATTTTTAAGATACATGTTTCTAATATCTACTACCACGTATGTCATATATTATAATAAATACATATATCAGTATATTTTATAAAATATTTAAACCGCGTTTAAGAATGTCAAAAGTAGTAGTAGATATTGGCAATATGTACCCTAATAATCGATTTTTTCCGGTCACGCATTTTTTAATCACATTGTATATTATAACTTTAAAAATATATGTAAATAAATTATGTAATATATTACATAATCGCGCACGGTTTGAAAATGACTTAAAACTAAATTTACATCTTGTAAAGACTATTTACAAAAATGCATAAGGTTCTCGTGGGTAGTAATGTCAAAAAGTAATATTGAAAATAAGAACTCTTTTTTAATCGCGTACTGTACGTAGCAATATTCATGTATGGGTTTTAATAGCTATTTATTATACAAGGGGGAAAAGTAGTAGTTTTCCACCGTGTATAATACACTATTTTTTTCTATACGCTTATCATGTAAGTATTAATTTCAAAAACTGAAACATGACATAACCTCTTGAGTATTTGATTTGACATTGAATAATTGTCAAATTGCATGTTTTTCAAAAAAGCGTACGGTTATAGAAAAAAACTAATCTTATAAATCAGAATGAAAGTTGTAATATTCCGAAGCCGTTAAAAAAATAAATGTAATTAATAAATATTCCATTGTATATAAATAAACATTTTTACAGTTTTTAAATAATTTTTTGTTCATTTTTTACACATCATTATACACTTCGAGCGGAAAATCTTACTTTTGGTCTTATAACGTAAATAAATATTTTAGTTATAAATACGATATTAAATAAGTTCCAAACTTAATACAAATTTGTATTGTATAGCAAAAGCTAAATAACATCTGATCGGTGCGATATCTTTTTTAAAAACCATTTTAATTTACCATTATTAAATGAAAAACCAATACGGCATACAGTACGCAATCATGGTCTATATTTATACGCTGGGCTGACGGCCTATGCGTGGATTTGGTGTTTATAGAAGTATACCAAGTTGAACTTTTAGTTTACCTTTGTTTAAATAATTGCGTTATGTTTAAATCTTTAGCGTAAACAATAATGGCAAGTGAAAGATTTAGTGTCACAAGTGCAAGTCACTGTTGTGTATATGTGAACTGTAAAAATTCAAGGAAAAATTCTCCACAGTTAAGTTTTTTTAAATTTCCTGTGAAAGATGCTTCTCGATGTCAACTCAATGGATTATAAATTGTGGTAATGTGTTATTGCTTGACATGGATGATGACGCTCTTAAAAACAAAATATTGTGTGAAAATCATTTTCTGGCATCCTGCATTCGAAGTGGTGGGGGTAAAAAACATTTACATATCTTTGCTGTGCCCCTTAAATATGACGTTAAGACAGGAGATATTGTTTTAAATGGTAAGGAATATTTTTCTTTTCTCTCAAACAGTAATCTATAACAAACCATAGGTAACGAGCTCGAAATTGATGGGTTAATCGAAGACGTTTCAAACCTTGTAGTTAAAAAATCTATCAGTGATAAAACGTACGCTGCCGCTAGTTCAAACAATTTACATTTTACGGGACAAGATTTACTAGAAACTCGTCATAATGATTCTGTTCACCTTTCTAGTTCGACTATTCTCGATGACATCATAGGTATGCCCATTGTCCAACACGTAAATCAAAATCAAGAGCAAAATTTACTTGGTTTAAAACAAAAAATTCGAAAATTAAGTAGTGCTTTGAAAAATACGAAACTAACAAATACCCGACTTCGAAAGAGGCTCTCATTTTCTATTAGTAACTCCCAATCTCAATTAAAAAACAAATCTACCGAAGTACAGACGTTTGTACAAATGCAATTATATCACCGTAAAAGGACCAGTTGGACCCCATCAGAAAAACGTTTAGCTTTATCGTTTTACTACAAATCGCCCAGTAACTATAAATTTATGCTCGATTTGGGTTTTGTATTGCCAAGTGTATCCACGATAAGAACTTGGTTAAAAGTTAACAATTTAAAGACTGGAGAAAATAACAATCTAATTGAGAAACTAAACGCCAAAGTAAAGCAAATGACGCACACGGAAAAACAATGCGTGGTTTTATATGATGAAATTGCTTTAAAAAAAGGATTAAATTACAACCACTATCACGATTTTATTGAAGGTTTTCAAGATTATGGTGATTTGGGAAGAAGAGAAGTATTAGCTAATCAAGCGTTGTTATTTTTTGTGAGGGGGTTATTTTGTAATTGGAAGATGCCTTTTTCTTATTACGTATCGTCAGGTCCAGTTAAGGGAGAAGTAATAAGTACTTTGTTGCAGAAAGTTTTGCAAAAATTGCAAGATATTGGATTGGTTCCAAGGATGGTCGTTTGTGACCAAGGAAGCAACAACCGAAAAGCGCTGGCATCCCTGGGAGCTTCAAAAGATAACGTTAAAATTTTTATAAATGGAATGGAGATATATACATGTTTTGATACACCCCATTTAATTAAAAGCTTGAGGAACAATTTTATGAATACAAAATTAAAAATTGTCGTAGACGGTAATGAAGTATCTTGGCACGATTTTGTCGATACTTATAAAATCGATCATAAAAGCAATGTAACGAGAGCAATGCTAAAAATTACAGATACGCACGTAAATCCAACAACCTTTCAAAAAATGAAAGTGAAGTATGCCGTGCAGGTGTTTAGCCACTCGGTAGTAGCTGCAATTGCAACATGTGCCGAAACTGGAGAGGTTCGATCAAGAACTGCAAAGAATACGGCTTCATTTTTAAAATACATCAACGACACATTTGACTGCTTGAATAGTCGGGTTGTTAAAGCAGCAAATCCGTATAATTGCGGATTATCAACTTACAACACCTTCACAACAACAAGGTTAGCCGAAGCATTGCAGTACTTCCAAAAAATTGAAATTTTTGAAAACGGGCGGGGGAGAAACAACATTTACTGTATAGAAGGGTTTCAGTGGACCATTAGAGCAATTCTGGGTTTGTGGGACTCCCTTGTAAAAGACGACTACAAATACATGCTGACGTCACGAATCAATCAAGATCCATTAGAAAACTTTTTTTCAGTGATAAGAAATAGAAATGGCTACCATGCTCAACCAACTGTAAAGCAGTTTCGTATAGCTTTACAACACAACATGCATATTCGTCTACAAGCCCCAGTGGACGGAGCAAATTGTGAAGTAGATGCAGACGACATCTTGGAATTGTATGACAACCACGACCATCCAAATAATTCTACTAGCAAAGATTATCAAAGGGAGGTATACACTAGTTGTAATGACAATGATTTAGAAGTGAATACGATTGCGATCAAGACGACGACGAACAAAGAGCGGTAGAGGTAACTCATTTGGAAAGTACGAGAAAAACCGGCGTAACATTAGAAGATTGTACAAATGTGTATGTAGCTGGTTACCTATATTTTAAGCTATCAAAGAAATTCGATTGTAAAAAATGCAAAAATGCATTTTTAGATGAAAGTGAATGCCTTGACGATAAATCTCAATTATTATTATTGAACAAAAATTATGGATCCACGCATATTATAAACTATTTAACCAAACCAAATAAGTACTTTGCAGAAATTGTGACATTTATGCTACACAGCTTCAACACTTTATTTGAAAAGCATAAACTCAAATACGATGTTAAGAAAATTATCAAAAACTCTCTAGTGCTTAAAATAAAACAAAAATATGATACATGGTTTAATAAGCAATGTGAAGATCATCAGCTGTTTATTGTGGACAATTTAATCAAAATTAAATTGTATAGGTCAATTTCATGGGAAACAGGATCGACAAAACGTCGTAGTACGGCGCCGGCGGAGGGTTGTAAACCTCACCGTAAAGTAAAAATTTTACAAAATTAATTTACTTTTGTAATGTTTTAGCGATTGGTTCAATTCGATGAAATTGTACATGAAACATTTTTTGTAAAATTTTATTTGTTGCAAATTTCATTCAAGGCTTTTTGAGTAGTTTTAATTGAATTAATTTGTCTATTTTATATTAAAAACATTTCACATTTAAGTCTATCAGCAAAACATACATCTACAAAAAAATGATACAAATTATTTATTTTACTCATTTAAGCAGATCGGAATAGCCGATAGGCGAAAGCATTAATTTATATCGTTTTTTAAATTTTTTAAAGTCAATGTTTTGATCACGAAGGGGTATATATTATAATTTATATAATATGTAAATTTGGTTGTTTTTGTTTTCTATTTTATTTAACAGTACTTGCGTACAAGATTGTACAACGGCACGCGAGGTAAGCGCGGTGTTCTGCACACGTTACAATAGCGCGCGGCGTGCGGGCAGAGCGGTCACGTACAAAATTATTTACAAGAAAACGGTAATACATATCTAAGTAATTTTTTCACAAAAAACTATTTGTGACTATTGGCCACATTTCACACAATATAAGTATACACATTCTTTCAATAATAAAAAAGTTTCTCGCTTAATAAAATTTATGCCACGCATAAAGCAATTCCACGACTTTGTTTATTGTTTTGGCTATGTTAATAGTTTTTATTTACTATAAATTATACCTACATCATTAGAAGCGCTCATTAATTATCTTTCAGAAACTGAAAGAATAACCTCGATAACTTATGTGGTCACTGAGATATGGCGATGTGAAGCTAAAAAAACGCGAATTTTTGAAACTCTATTTTTTCTTGTTTTTTGTAAATAAAAAATGTCATGACCACAGCAAAATGACGTGAATGGCCATTTCCGATGAGGAATTATAACACCTACAAAACGTAGTACGGCTCATGTAGTTATACCTCAAAAAAATTTTTGGTACATTTTTTTGTCCGATCTCGCGGACTATACGGCAATTTTAACTGAATACGGGCCGCCCGTCGATGTTGAAATCTTATACGCGATATCTGCTTTTTCAGTTGTGTTTGCATGAGAGCTGTAAACGTCGCTAGCGTACAGGTTCGTTACTTTTGACGAGAGGGGAGAAACGAGGAGGAAGCGTACGCTCACGATTTCACATTGCGGTTGTCTATCTTCCTCGTTATATGTTAATCAATGCTATAACATCACAGCCTGCTACTGTGAATAAAGGATCCTCGAGTATACTCTGCAAAGTAGAAAGCTCTGTGATTCTAGATAATTTGTGGAGAGTCTCCCGAATATGTAGGTCTTCTATATCGTCTATATTTGGGAAACCATTTCCAATGTCATCATATAGAATTGAGTAAAAACTCTCAGAAAAAAACTTCGGTCCATTACCAACATGAATAAAAGACAGAGCAATTAACTGCCCTGCTGCATAATAATGTCTCTTATTCATAGCATCTAAGTCTAATCGCATGTATTTCTTGTCCAGTCCGAAAAACATGCGACTATCTTTTACAAAGTTCAGAACCAATCTGAACATCTCTCGAGTTGGTCCACCAGCGTCCACTGCACCTTCTGATAAGCCTTCAATATCACTGAACTTCACGGATATTTTATTGAAAACGGAGAACGAGGACCTTTTGAGTGCTCGCAAACAGCAAGTAAATATATCATTTCTGTAGACGTTAAACGAGGTAACACTTTCTTCTGTTACCTGTTCATTCAAACCCTTCAACAATATTGTAAGGGATATTTGAGACTCGCACCCTTCCTTTGAGGTGGCCGCAATCTCTTCTATATTATGATTTTCCTATATTGAACAATATTATAATAATATAAGATCCAATATTAAAACTGATGCTTACTGCTATAATTGATTCATTTCCATCTGGGTTTGGTGATGGGGCCCCATGCATATCTTCAGGGTATTCTTGAAATTCGTCTAAATTATTGTTATTATCATTATATTCGTCATCAGTTGTAGGTGTCACTTCGGAATTACCCATTCTCAACAATGGGACGAATGGTCTAACGTAGATTACCTTCTGATAAAACCTAGACTTAATTGCTCTTCCATCACACTCAACCCCGGGTGGGAGATTGAGTCTTACTAAATGTCCACTCATAGGGACCAATAGTTCAAAGTCTTGCCCATCAAGAATATGCTGAAAAAGGTCTTTAATAGAAGCAACAATTTCTTCATAGCTCCAGTTTGAGTTGAACTTTGCATTCGAGAAAGCAAAACCTAAAAAATCTCATTCTAAAATAGAAATAAAAAAAAAACAAAATTGAAACCTTCTTCATATGCTTTAGATTTTTGTAGCCCTTTGAGTGTCGAATTTATTTTTGATGATTGAAGTAATATAATGTCTCGATAAAAAGGTTTTTCAACAATAGTACGTCTTCGTTTTTTTACAGACGTTCGTACTACATTGGTCATCGATGCCTGATTGACACAATTCTGTGGAGCTGCTGAATTGGCCCTAATCGGTGTATTTCCTCTCTAACTGATGTAACAGGTACATTAGAAACTGATTGTATGGAGGTAGTTGAGGCATTATGTTCACTTGTCGCACCTCTTACTGCGTCTTCCAATATATTACGAAGCTGAGGACTTGACAAAATATTAGATACAATGCCATCAACTTGGCGATCCATTGCAAATCTAAAAAAAATTAAGTATTAGCGGTATTAAAGAAAATTGATTAACAGAACCTACCTGTTAGATTGAAGTGGCCGCGATCCACTAGAACACACTTGCACTTTACTTTACTGAACAGGTGAAAATAACGTCTGAGTTTGGGCAGGAGCACGAGGGAATGTAAATCAACGTAAATTCAATTATTCAATTCTCACACGTGAACACGTGAATTGTTGTGTTGCTTGTGTTGTGTCAGCTGATCGGCGCGAAATCACGTTACGCCGGCGTCAGTCGCTGCCCGGTGCGCCATCTGGCGGTGAACCACAGGAACCACTTTTTCCTCACATTTGTAGCGGGCACATTTGTGAGGAATTTTGCTTACAAATGTAAATATTTTTTTGAATAAAGTTATAAATAATTTTGATGGAACAAAAATGTGAAATATTCAAAATTATTCACATTTGCGTAAAAATTATTTACATTTGCGCAAAAATTATTTACATTTGCCTAAAATTATTTACATTCACTGATTTTTCACATTTTAATTTTGGCACAAACGGCGTGCCATAGTAAAGTGTACATAATATTGTATTAATAATACTTAAACTAGAAGAAATTGTAAATAATGAAGCGCTTATTGTTATATTTCATTAAATGGTGTTAATAATACTGTTCTACTTCCTTAATCAACAGGTACTGTAAATTGGTTAGTGCGCCAACCACTTGAAACACCATATCTGCTTGTTGTAGCAATGTGTGGGGAATAAAGGTTAAAATTTTGAAGGATTTCATACGTCGTATCGCTCTCTCTACATGTATCCTAGCACTTGCATTGCTTCTGTTTGATATACTTGTTGTGGTGTGAACTGCGAAGTTAAAAGGAAAGGTAGTATGTTTCGAGTTGGTAAACAATCTCTAATTAAAAAACCTTTATCGGCCAACACCAAGTCTCCAGCGACTAATTGACTCACGATGCCGCAGTCTTTATGATCTTTTTGTCTGATGTAGATCCTGGACATAAATCTGAAATATATGTCACTACACCATTAAGCCTGCCACAAACACAGAGACATGTCCGCGTGCATCTCCGCGCGTGCCATAACGTGCGTTGATGTACGCTCGTCTGTGGCGATAATTTGCACGCGCGCGCCTATAAACGTTGCTCATTCATGTCTTCCGTTATTACTTGAAAACATGCACGCGCAACCATAAACGCGCGTTGATGAATGTCAATGTGTGGCTAAATTTTATGCTTCCTGAGAGATATCAGTCAGTGTGGTGCAGAGCATTTTTAAATCTTCTTTTAGTCTTTTAATCTTCAAAACCGTACAATGAGCGATTTAAGAGGTATTACGAAGGAATTTCTGACGGAATTCATTCTTCTGTATCGATCATTTCCGTGTCTCTGGAAGACCAAATCCAAAGAATATATGGATAGAAATAAAAAAAATGACGCTTATAAAATTTTAACGGAAAAACTAAAAGAAGTGGAGGAAAACGCTACAAAAGAAGCAGTGAAAACAAAAATAAATACTCTCCGCGGAGGGTTTCGCCGAGAAATGAAAAAAGTTTTAAATTCAAAACGATCAGGGGCAGGCGCAGATGATGTGTATGTCCCAAATTTATGGTACTACGAACTGTTGCTGTTTATTAAAGACCAAGAACTTCCACGGCAATCTGTAACAAACATAGAAGTAAACTGCGATAATGAAGAAAACGCATCAGAAATATTTATGGAACAACAAAATGAGACAGAGGTAAATACAACTAAATATGATCATTATTAAATAATATAAGGCAATATGACATTTATATATTATCGTATCATTCGTTCTTGCCATGATACAGCACCATTTTGATTAAAATAATCCATAAATAACTGTCTTACTTCTTTTGCAGTATTATTACTGTGTCTATTGTAGCTTCGCTGTAAATTGTTCATATTGCATTGTAACCCAAGCTCAGTAGTACCAGTGTCAATGTTTTCGCGGTCAAAACAGTAATTATCAGGCGTGTATAAACTTGCATATTTTCTTCTTAAAAAATTATGTAGAACGCAACAAGCCAATACTACCCTTTCAATAGCTTTTAAATTAATGCCAATTGCTGTGTGAAATATTCTGAATCGAGCTGACATGATTCCAAACGTATTTTCCACTCTGCATCTCGCTCGCGATAGTCGGTAATTAAATATTTTTTTATCATGGTCTAACTCTCTTTGATTGAATGGCTTTAAGAAATCTGGCCGTAGAGTGAATGCTTCGTCTCCTACAAATATAAATGGAAAACTGTGATTAGTATTTTTGAGACTTCTTGGAGGTGGCAAGCATAGTGTTCCATTTTTAAGTTTGTCATAGAACTTTGTATATTCTATAACACCTCCATTTGATATCCGTCCATTTACTCCAAAATCAATCATGATAAATTCATAATTGGAGTTTACTACCGCCATAAGTACCAAACTATGTTCACCCTTATAATTGAAAAAATAAGATCCACTTCCGCGAGGTGGAATTATACGGACGTGTTTTCCATCAACCGCTCCTAACAAATTAGGGAAATTGGTCGTTTTATCTAAGTCTTCGGCAATTTTCAGCCACTCGTCTTCTGTTGATGGAAACTAAAACAAAAAATAAGCAATACAAAAATTTAAATTACAGAAAACTTGTTAAAATAATGTTTATTAACCCATATCATTGTTTAATTTGCAGGAAAATCGAAATGTGGATAATGAGGATTTTGCTTTAAGCCCTGCTTCTAATATTAGTCGCGCTGAAACCGCCCATTCAAAAAGTGAAACAATTGTAACCACACCAGCCACAAAACAAAAAAGACGAAGACATGATAGAAAAGCAGAAGAACAAACAGATGAGATTCTGGCAGTCGTTAGTGAACGGTTACGAGCTGGTCCAAAAATAGATGATAACTTTTCAATTTTTGGTGCTAATGTTGCTGCTAAGTTACGAAGTTTGCCCACAGAAACTCGACTTTATTCAGAAAAGTTGATAAATGATGTTTTGTTTGAAGCCGAAATGGGAAATATTAATAGAACAACTAAAATAGTCACATCCTCGATTCAATCTTTTGCCTCACAAAATAACACTTTTAATTACCCTTCGAATTATTTATGTGGCGTACGTACACCTTTCAACGCTTCATACACACTAAATAGCCAGCAACAAGCAGAGCCAATTTATCAGGATCAAGCATATCTGGGCGCTCAGCACTCATCTGAGATACAACAAAACATAAATAATCCGCCGATTTTTCAATCACAAGGAACTGTGAACTGTTTGCCAGTAAGTTCATCTGGTACATCTGACAATAATTCCCAAACTGTTGTTTCATTCGTACGAAATTTTACTCCTTGATTAAAGGTTGCATTATGTAGGATCACCCAGTTTTTTTAGAGTCTATTTATGTTAAGAATATATTATTTGTACTTTTTATTATTTTGTATTTGCAAAAGAGACCATGTTATAAGTCGTTTTCTTTTCAATGTATTATTAAAATAAAGCACAATACATACGTGAGAAAATTGTGCTTACCTTCAGATATTTCTGACAAAGTACTCGGTAAATCGCACTGCAACACTCAGGAATTATTTGTCACAGAGATTGGGGTGAAATAATGGTCGTAAATTTTAAATGCTCATAATTCCTACCGGTGGCCAAAAATCGAAGTGTAGCCGTTAAACGTTCATGGGCCGATATAGCAGGTCTCACAGTAGTATCTTGTTTTTCGATTAATATCTAGAAGCTCTACGTAACAGCTTTCATCCATTCCCAGGTAATTCCGCCAGTCGTCTACTTCCAATCGCAACTCTTCTAATAAATGTATATGGGAGAACTGATTTCTTTTTAATAGTCATTCCTTCACCCATTTACTCCTTGCTTTTCTTTTTTTCTGTTGTAAATGTAATTGTTTTTCTTTTAAACATGCGTACGCCATTGCCATAACACAAAACTGCTCTTCATTGTATGAACCCATTTTTTGCACTGGAGAACTACACAAACATCTCCTTGTGTTTGTAGTATGTTCATTCAATGCACGCGCGTTAATGCACGCGGACATGTCTCTGTGTTTGTGGCAGGCTTTAGAGTTTAGGGGCAACTCCTACAATACCTTTCCATGTGTTCCTATGCTTATAAGAACTACAAAGTAGACCTTTGTTTTGTCATGCGACTTCGCGGAACAGATGTGTATATTTCGGTGCAATCTAATATAATTCTACAGTTTTACATTTTTTGCACATTCAAACGTTGGTACTAGTTCACCTTCACATCTTTCAAAAGGTTTAGGAGGGATTTAAATATACAATTATTAGGAATACCCGTATACAATGAAATTAAATTGTCATGATCACAAATATGTAAATAAGAAAACTGCACTGAAAGGTGCCCAAATTTCTTCTTGGCTTGAGAAAGTTCTTCTTTTAAGAAATAATTCTCATCTTCCAATTCAATTTGTGACCTTGATCCTGACGAATCTGTTTGTTTAGGTTCGGTTCTGGAAAATGTGTTGTAAGTAAAAGCAGGACAGGAAGTCTTACTATTATCATTGTATTTATAAATACAATGCTATTATGTACATTGTCTCAGTCTGTCTGTTGAATTTGGGTAGTTATTTCATCATCCCTCGTTGGCGCATCCCTTCGTTTCTTCCACCGCAGTGGAAGTGCTCGGCTTTGGCGTCACGTTAGAGACATCATTTCTTTTTTTCGGTTTCCTCAAATCGTTTGCACTTATTGTGGACAAATAATGTCTGCCTATTTTCTTTGTTGCCATCTTTAAAATGACAACTACATATAGTTGCTGATGAACCAGGTGGTACATCTCGTCTACAAACAATTATTAACAAGCATGCATTGGCAACATCTGTTTTACCTGAGTAATTTTATCCAATCCTTTCGAAGTGGTTCGCTGGTTGGAAACATACATATTTCTCGAACACTGTAGTGTTTACATCCATAAATAATAAATAAATAACTATTTACATCCGATTTGGAAATGACAAAATATAAATTCCTTACACTTGATTTAGTTCACCACATATGTAACACTTACATTGAAATACAGGGTGTTTTTTTGGGAGCTTTAGTTAAAAGTTTCTGGGAAAGTAAAATAGGTAGGTTTTTGAAAATTTGTACTTAGGAGTTACTCTGAAGGCCGAATCGATGTAAAATATTTTCAAAATGGCCGCACTTTCGGAAACACCGGAAGTAGATAGTAACTTCGTTATTTTAAATGGCAACCCCTATTTTTTATTGCATTTTTGGATTCTACGTGAAATTTCACTTCTTTTGATACCCATATGTCGATATCTGCCATTTATGGTTTTGACTTTAAGAAAAAAAATGGCGGATGCAGATGGTACCTTGATAATTGATTACTTGAAAACGGTTGTAGTCATGGCAACCTATTTTTATCAGTGAATAGAGAATGAATAGGGCTTTCTTTTAGTGCACTTAAAACAAAGTTAAGTTGCATACAACCGCACCTATGGAGATCCATATTTAAGAAACTTCAAAGTCTATAAACTCAGTTTTTTTAAATGGAATGACCATGTTCTTAATATTGCATGAGATAGAGAATCGAAATTGGCATATTTTGACTATACATGTTCCTATAGCTATCTTTAACAGTTTCTGATTTATTCCCATTTCATTGAATTGATCTCGGAATTGATGCCATTTTTTTCGCATTTTCTTTTTAGTAGTTGGCCATGATTTTATATCAATCGAATTTTAAACAAATCAAGGAATGGATTCTTTAATACCATTGATTCTAGTTCTAGTCTAAATAATTAATTAATAAATAACTCATTTATTAAGGATATAGGACGGAAAATTTTTGAAAAATCTAAACAGAGTCGTTCAACTGAATTTCTTAAACAACGTATAAGTCTGGAAATTAAGAGAGGTAATGCGATATCTGTTCTAGCAACAATTCCATACCAAAAATGTTCAACGAAGTTTTTTATATTTTGCATTGAATTTATTTTGTTAATCAGGTATTTGCAATTCAATTCATTTTCTTAAATATTCTCTTGTAGAGCTTTGTATCACTTGTGCTTCAACGGTTTGTAGTGCATTAGGGGTACAAAATTTCCAAAATTCATACAATTTCGTTTCAGTTTTCGAATGAATGTAAGGAAAGCACGCGCCGCGATTCTGCCCATTTCACCATAAATAACAATTAAATTCCAAAATAGGTGAAACCACTGCGAGTCATTTTTCGATTTTTGAAAAACTTATGTTAACCTATAACAGTGGGTGATGGATTAGTGTCACTAGATTTGTTTAAAATTCAATTGTTATAGAATCATGGCCGACTACTAAAAAGAAAATCCGAAAAAAATAGTGTCAATTCAATAAAATGGGAATAAGTCAAAAACTGTTAAAGATAGCTATAGGAACATGTATTGTCAAAATATGCCCATTTCGATTCTCTATCTCATGGAATAGTAAGAACATGGTCATTCCATTAAAAAAACTGAGTTTTTAGTCTTTGAAGTTTCATAAATTTGGATATCCATAGGGGCGGTCGTACGCAACTTAACTTTTTTTTAAGTGCACTAAAAGAAAGCCCTATTCATTCTCTATGCACTGATAAAAATAGGTTGCCATGACTACAACCGTTTTCAAGTAATCAAGGTACCATCTGCATCCGCCATTTTTTTTCTTAAAGTCAAAATAACTTAAAAACCATAAATGGCAGATATCGACATATGGGTATCAAAAGAACTGAAATTTCACATAGAATCGAAAAATGCAATAAAAAATAGGGGTTGCCATTTAAGATAACGAAGTTACTATCTACTTCCGGTGTTTCCGGAAGTGCGGCCATTTTGAAAATATTTTACATCGATTCAGCCTTCAGAGTAACTCCTAAGTACAAATTTTCAAAAACCTACCTATTTTACTTTCCCAGAAACTTTTAACTAAAGCTCCCAAAAAAACACCCTGTATAGTAAAATAGTAAATTACCAACAATTGATTTAAATTATTTGGCGTAAAATTTTGCCGTATGTCTGTTAAAATGTTTTTATACAAATTAATTGGTAGCTATCCATCTTATAACGACTCAAAACGGGGTGATATTGACTAAGTGGATTGATAAAGACACTAAACCTTCCCCATACTTCTTTTAATTATTTCAGGTATTAGAATAAAGGCATTAGGTGACAGCGACTATAGTTTCGACCCGAAGGTCATTATCAAGCTGAAATATTATAATTTGAAACAATGACTAACCTTAGGTGACCTACCCAGGGCCGTGTAACTTCAATGCGCACATTAAACTAAAGCTTGTTAGTTTGGACTACAGTCGCTGGAAGCGCTGGTGTAGAAATTTTAAATTACTTTTTAGCCGGCCTTCGTTTTCGACATTTGACGTTTGTTGATTGTTGAAAATTTGACGCCATTACGTTTTAGTTTTGCATTTGTGTGGATTTTTTAGCGTACTTTATTATGTTTCTTTTGTTAAATATCTGTGTTTCTCAATATTAGACATGCTTCATAGTGGTAAGTAATAATAGATTGATTTATTAATAACAAACTTTGAATTATAGGTTACACTTGCATTCTAGTGCTCAACTTGTGAAAGCTTGAAATGCTTGCATAATGCATAGTACTAAAAAATCGCTTAAGTTCAATTCTGTTACTGTTATAAGTAAAAGGGTGCCTGTGCTATCAAGTTGAACTTGCAATGAATGATTAGCGATTACACAAGTAGAACACTTGGCACTAGCAGATCGCTTTCAGTGCACACTAAAGATACAGGTTGAATTCGCTATTAACTGAAGATGGTATTTTGGTGCTGTGTACCTTCATGCTCGGTTAAAGGTGGAGAAGGAATTGTATTACATAGGTTTCCAAAGGATCAAGTGGTAAGTTAGATGCTTCTGATGTTTTAGTACGTTTTCATTAATAAATTCTAGCTATTTACACAATGGCTTGAAGCTGTTGATAATGCAAACCTGTATGAGCTAAACAGAAGTGTTGTTTATAGTAACTACAGGGTATGTCACAATCATTTTCATGAAAACGTTAGGATTGCTTGCGGGAGAAGGGGGTCATATTTACAATATAATGCTGTGTCAACTGAAAACCTTGGATTACATAGAAAAGGTATAAAATATTATTGTTAATACTTGTTATATATTGTTATACTATACTCACTTAACGTTTTTTGTTTAATGATGTAACATGAAAGAGCAATGATGAGATGGTTGTAGTGGAGTTCGTGAAGGGGCTGTGTGGAATAATATAATGGTGCAACTCGTTTTTAAAGTTCTCACTTAAAGGTGCATTATTTTGGCAAAAATGTGAAAGATAAGTATGTAAAAGTGGTTGAAATGTCTTTTAAACAATTAATTGGCAACTGAAAGCAGACAATGGTTTTGGTAATAAAAACACACCATCAGTTGTAGTCGTTCAGTAAATAGAAACATAATTCTTTTATGGGTCATGTATTTAATTGAGAGATAAAAATGACAGGAAAATCTGTACATTTGCGAGAATATTTGTTTTGAAATAATATTTGCTGCATGTTTATTTACGCATTTTAAATTTAGCGGTAGTTGAATAGTGAGATAAGTAATGGCTTCTTTAAGGACGAGATTAATGTAAAATTTATATTGCTTAAATTAGAGCTATATTTAACTTGCTAGTGGTGTGTGCTTTTAGTATGACTTGTTTCATTAGTACATTAGTTTGTAGGTACCTTATTTTTGAGTATTTCATTTTTAACACATTGCTAAATGAACTTGTATTTTAGATTCTAATGCAACCACATCAGCATTAACATGTGAAGAACCTACCACATTTACCACAGACTCTGCAACAGGTAGTTATTACTTAAATAACACATTTTAATTTTATATCAACTTCTATTTTAGATTTCAATGATAGCACGTCAGCACCAATATGTGAGGAACCTCTCACATTTGCCACAGGCTCTGCAACAGGTATAATTTTTGCGTTAATAACACTGATGTTTAATTTTTTATCGAAAGCAGAGACAATTATGCACTCATGGTTGGACCTCAAAGTAATTTGCTATACATTATTTCAGTAGTATGTGTATTGGTTTGATAGTCATATATATTATTCAGAAAATGTAATTTTTTTTTAATTTCTTTAAGCCTTTCTACACCAATTGACTGATGTTATTTTTTTCTTCTTTAAGGGTCTCAAGTAAGTGCTGCCCTTGGTGCCGCCACGTTTCATAATAATAAGCGCAAAAGTGCTGGTGTGCCTAATCTCAAGGTTACTTTTAAAACTTCTAGAAGAGGTAATTATATTTTTTGTAAATTATGAATGTGATACATAAATTTTGTTGTAATTTTAGGTATAAGGGAAAGGAGTAATTTAATTAAGTCTTTTAATGTGACAAAAATTAGCCATTTACCTATACAATCGCAACAACTGTGCAAAATCGCACGAAGTCTTAAGAGTACTGCAAAACGTTTGGATAGAGAATTGGCAACTACCAAGCAACGTCTCAAAGAAGCAGAACAATGTTTAAATACGGATTTTATGAACCTGAAATTAAACAAGACCTCGTATACATTTCTAATGGGGCAACTAAAGCATCAAATGACTTCTCCAAGAGCTAGACGATACTCCATACTGGAGAAGATATTTGCACTCGCGCTATTAAAGCAAAGTCCGAAAGCTTACAAATTTTTGCAGTTGGTGTTCGCTTTACCTTCAAAGAAGACACTTCTGAATTTGCCCAATCAGGTTCCTTTTGAAGACGGAATCAATGCAAAAATTTTCCTGCAATTAAGTGCTACTGTTTTAAAGATGGAACCCCAACATAGATATTGTGTAATCATCTTTGATGAAATTTCGTTAGAGCCATCTATCCAATATAATTGCATTTCTGACGAATTGGACGGGTTTCAGGACAATGGCAATGTGAAAATTCCTGTTATAGCAGACAAGGCACTTGTGTATATGGCAAGAGCCATTTACAAAAAATGGAAACAACCTCTGTAACAGTTTAAAATAGTATTAACCTTTGTAGTCATATTTCTATTTCCATTACCCTGTATTACATGTTCGCGCATCGTTGAGTGCAACCAATGTGTCAATTCTCTAGTTATTTTTATATTTTTGTGTTGCCTGCCCGTTTTAGTTTCTCGATCTACCGATCAATGACGTCAGTTTACTGTAATTCGATACCTTGCTGTCATTGGTTTTTAAATTCGTTTCCTTTATCGATAAGCATTAGATATTACCATTTATGGTATTGACATATCCATCGGCTCTCGTGGTTGGTTGGAATTATTCGTCGTCGGTTGCATCGTGACCGGAAACAAGAAAGTTAGCGTCTTCTTTTCTCGCCACCTGCGTGATATCTTATTATTGTTTAAACTATTGCCTTTGTGTATTTGCATTTCATTTAACCCATACTTATGTGGTAAATGTTAACTGGCCGAACACTAGAGCCACCCATATTATTCTTAATTAGTACGCTTGAACTTGAAAGGGAATAATTTGCTTTAATTAACTGCATTTACTCATGTGAAGTAAATCACCTGTGAAGTACAGAGCTCTATACTATGATTTAAACTTCGATACCCTACAAGCTACCAATCAAGGTATTCAATCCACTGTCAATTTAACCCATTAAACTCAATCACTGTGCAACGGTAGTGGGTGTTCTATACCTACTTTCAGGATTTTTGGTGTGAACTAGTTTCAGCTACTAAATTTATGTAATATTTCATTGGGGGAATTTTATGTAAACCTTGGAATTTGGGATAATTATTTCAACACTTATACTTGGGGTTGTTTAGTTTTTACATAACGTGTTTATTATACTTTATTGATTTTTGATTCCCATTTGGGGAACGTAACTTTTGTGTTGGTGTTACGTATGCAGGTGCAATTGCACCCAATAAACACTTATTTTTGTGGGTTATCAGTCGCCTACTTTAAAGCTAAAGCTACCTTTCCTAGTTCCGGTAGTGGCAAGCGAAACTTAACTTGGAATTAGGTGGCGCCCATAGAGATTTTAATTGAAGCGACCAAAAGTAAGTACTGACGACCTAGGCTGAATCGAGGAGTTATAAGTGCCAATTACCAATTGAGTTAATTCTGTTACCCACAACCCTGTACATTAGTCTTTCTCTCTCCGCTGTTTGCTATTTGGTCAACAGAGCTAGCTGGCCGGTCAGCGGCGTGTGTTTTATTTATAAAGCACATGGTATTTTTGTAGTGCCTTGCATTTTGCTGCTTGCGCGTTATACCTCTCTCTTTTTATTTTAATAAAGGGGGTATGAAAAGCGAGGTAATAGCCCAGACTTTAAAGAGCAATATAATTGCCGCTCAAAATATTGGCCTAAAAGTTGTTGGTACAGTGAGCGATCAAGCTGCTCTAAATAGATCTGCCATAAAATTACTGTACGATGAAACCAACAGGCTGCTGAGAACTGTACATGAGGAGAAAAGACTATTTGGATACTTGATCAATAATCAGGAAATTGTTCATTTTTATGATGTTCCTCATCTACTCAAGTGCATGCGGAACCTTTTGTATGAACATGACATACAGTTTGAAACTAAAAACAAAACGATGACTGCCAAGTGGGAACACATCGTGCGTCTTGTTTCTTGAGATAATTTAGAAGAAGATGCCGATTACAGAATGTTGCACAAAATCACTGATGTCCATATACAAAATAAGAAAAAAATGAAGGTCGCATATGCAGCTCACATTTTTAGCAACCGAGTAGCAGGTCTACTACGAGGTTTGGCACGCGTTTGTAAGTATATAATTGTTACATTTTACAAAACATTATACTACATTTATTGTTTGTTTATTCAATGCCGGTACGTTCTTGTGGTATAAATCAGAATCAGAATAATTATCAATTTCAATTTTTAGTCATATGTAATATATTTTACTTAGTGTGTTTCAAATGTGTACAAGCAAAAACTAAGATATTTTTTTATAGCTCCACAGAATGTACCTATCAACGCTATGGAAACTGCAAAGCTTCTTCTGTTTATGAACAAGTGTTTCGATAGCATGAATGGTTCCAAGTATGCGGGGGATAATCAATTGAGATGTGCGGTCAGCTCCGATTCTCTCCATTATAACTTCTGGTTAGAGGCGTTGAAGATTTTTGGAACCATGAAGTGCATTAAGTCTGATGGCAGAAAATATACACCTCCTACAATTGTGAATTGGCAGCACACTATTAAGGCATTCCGATACATCTGGAAAAAATTAGAAAAAGAAGGCTTCACTTTTTTGTCTTGCAGAAATATTAATCAGGATCCACTGGAGAATTTCTTTGGAGCAATTAGAACCCATGGGGTTCGAAATATTAATCCAACATGCCAGTCCTTCAAATACTCATTCAGGACGTTACTGCTGAACAATTTGTGTTCTGCACACTCACCTAGCGCTAATTGCGAAGAAGATGATTCATCACCACTGGATCCATTTACAGATTTAATTATTTTGCCTCATGAAGATGCCAATACCTTATTTGAAATTCCAAACGTTACTCTACCTAGTGGATTCGCGAGCAGTGAACAATCCGTACAAAGAAGTGCCACATCTACATATACAGGGTGACAATTTGAAAACTTACCACCCCCCATATCTTAGTAAATAAACGAGATATTTAAAAAAAATCAAACTCCGTTTCGGTAATTCGGAGGGGGAATCACAATGACATAGTTGGCGACGCACCCCCTCCAACCCCTGCGAACTGAACCCCTGTGAACTCGAGAATAATTCAAGAATGTCGAAATATTGCAAAACCAACATTTGAAAAGGTTCGACAAGAGTTTGAGAATAGATTATAACTGGCGATCAAAAATGAGTTGCTGTCGAGTCGGCTTTGGAAGCAAGTTAAATACGATTTTCCATGTAAACAAAAATTTCAAAGGGCGACTCGACAGCAACTCATTTTTGATCGCATAGTAATACTGTCTTACCAAGAACGGAAACCATTTTGAACATTTATTGAAAAAAAATCCAACTTTAGAAAATGTATCATATTAGTTTATTTTTTGATTTGCACGATAATTACTAACCTAAATGTAATGCTATTGGTAGGGTTGGAAAGCATTTTTTGAGAGCTTTCCAACGACGTATCACACATGGGGGGTCACTATTTAAGATTTAAAAGTTGGGGTGGCTACGGCGCAGGGGGTGTGAGGGGGTGCGTCGCCAACTATGTAATTGTGATTCCCCCTCCGAATTACCGAAACGGATTTTGATTTTTTTTAAATATCTTGTTCATTTACGAAGATATGGGGGGTGGTAAGTTTTCAAATTGTCACCCTGTATAGCAGGTAGTTTTGTGAGGCGTATTGTAAAGAAAACGGACAATTGTGCACATTGTAAGGAATTCCTAAACGGATCTTTAAAGGAACTGTCACCTAAAGAAAGACTCATTATTGAAGAGCGCCAATTATGTAACAGGCTGTTGCTAACCGCTCCTTCAAAACCATTTAATTATTTATTTCAACGTGGTATTGATATTGTTTCCCATGTTTTACCTCAAGTGTGTCATAAACGAAATGTGAAAAGTATTTTAAAGTGCATTTTAAAACAAAACTTGGATTTTTCTGTAAATTGTGAAGTGCATGATTTGCTTGACATTATGTGTGAGCTATCAACGTTTCATATTAATATTTGGTCCAAAAACGTTAATAAAATTTTAAAAGGTGTGAGTGAAAATGTTGTCACAAAAGACCCCATTAAAGTTCAAGCCATGAATATTTGTCACATAAACAAAAAAATTAAAAAAAAAGTCGCTGAAATGAAAAATCTTCAAATTTCAACATGATATGTTTCAAATGTAAATTACTTGTAGTTAGTTTTACTAAATTATAATTGTAAATATTAGATTCGATATTGTAATAGTATTGGCATTGCTTTTTGGTCACACGAGGTGTAGTCAACGTGAGCCCTAAATCTTCAGCTGTCTTTGCCACATTTTTCATTAAAGCAGTGAATTCATTTTCGTCGTTTTGTCTATCAGCACCCAATACTTCTACCAGCCTTTCGATGTGCTTTGAAACTCGCATTAGATCGACTTCTACTCCTTGTAACATTTGAGCTACTATTTCTAGTTGTGCTGAGTATTTGGCTACAATTTCCAAACAAACAATGAAAACGGTTGACGTCACTGCAGAATAAAGTTGAAACGCTTTCTGTTTCGTGTCTTTGTTTCCTTCATTGGAAAGTAAATGAAGTCCTTCAACAATGTTCACAAACTTTGCGTGAAATTTTCTGATCGATTTATATTTTTCCGACCATCTTGTTTCACACAGCTTTTGTAAAGATCCCACAACTGCCCTTCTTTGCGAATTTTCCCTAAAAAACTTAGTAACTTCTTTAACAGTTGCAACTGTGTTTCTAATCTGTGGTACTGCATTTAGATCGTTGATCACCAAATTAAGTCGGTGACTGGCACAGTGGAAAAAATTTGCCATAGGGAAGCTTTCACTGATCCTTTTGTGCACACCGGTGATTTTTCCAGCCATAGTACTACAACCATCGTAACCTTGCCCAACAGCGTATTGTAAGTTTAATCCCCAATTCGTCAACGTGTTAGTAATAGCGTTTGCGATGGTTTCAGCATCAAGCCCATGGTGAAGGGGCGTAAAACCAAGAAATTCTTCCTTTATTACTTTATCTTTTTTATCATAAAACCTAACACCAAGGGATAGTTGCTCGATACCGGCGATGTCCATACTTTCATCTGCCATAATAGAATATATTTCATTACTTTTTATATTATTTACAAGGTCGGTTCTAAGTATTGCAGCACATGTATCTATAATCTCATTTTGTACTTCATGAGAAATATATTTTGCGTTTTTTGGAGCGCTTCGCAAGTGCTCTTCCAAAATTGCGTCACCCGATTCCTCTCTAAAGTGAAGGAGATCATTAAAAATAGCATGCTCGTCAGTTTTACCCCTTAGTGGTAGGTTATGGGTTGCACAAAATACTACCGTTGAAATGATAGATTTAAGTTTCGTCCTATTCTTTTCAATCAGTTTTTTAACATGGTCATTGATTAAATAATAAATAAATCAAATTTTGTAACTCCACACTTTGTGTTTTATTTTGCATGATGGACAAAAAATTGCCGGCCTTTTCTGATGAACCGCGATGCCATTCTGATGCCATGTGTGATTTAGCACATTCGTGAAATTTTTTGAAATTTCTAAAGGGACGGGTTATAAATGCGCCTAGTAGACTACCTCTTGATACATGGGGTCTAAAGAATACACATGTTTTACAAAAAGCTCCTTTATAATATTTAGAATAAGTCACCCACTCATAAAGACAAAACCATTCATAAAGAAAAGGTCTTTTTCCATCAGGAGCATCTTGTTTAAAATTGTATCCCTTCTCTGGTTTCCAAGGATTTTGCAAAAATAAGTATTTTGTTCTATCATTCAAATTGCATATGTTTTTTGTGTCTACATAGTGCCCTATATCTGTATCTGATGTACAATTTATGGAAGTAGTAGGAGTAGAAGTTTTCGGTGGACAAGCGTTACCATTTTCATAAAAACTGGATAGGCCTGCTGGGCTTTGATTATTAGGGTAGTTGTGTGAGTTGGCATTTATAGCATTCTCATTTTCAGGCTCAATATTAATTGGATCAGGTGACTGGTTTGTGGTGTTACTAATGTTGTTATCGATTTTAATCCGTTTATTAAAAAAAATTCTTATGTCCATTTTAGAAAAACCTGGAATGAAAATTCAATCTTTCATTGTAAGTTCTTGAAACAAGATATATTTATATAAATCACTAGGTAACAAATAAAAACGAAAATTGAGGATTTGGTAATGTAATTGGTGTTAGCAAATAGATAAAAAATAATTGAAACTTACCTACTTTTTACTTAGTAGCTAGTAGATCGTAGAGGTAAGTACTATCGAATGCAAAACAAAAACTATTAGATTAACTTATGCACAGACACAAATTACAGGACTTTCGACTTTACA